AAAGCGAAGGAAAATATAAACACATACAATCATGCACAATCATTTTTCTGAAAAGATGTATTCATCCATTCGTATCCATTTTCCAATATATTCCGACAATTGTGTATTGGTTCAAACGTATGCGTTTTTTAGTTTCCTTACACTGTTTTTCGAGTTTATCCTCATGCAGTCATCTAAGTATCTTTATCTTTTTATTTACTATTGTTATGTGTTCAAGTAAATGCACGAACTTCCGTTTAGTACTTTATACGATATTTTCAAGCAATCTAAATTTTTTGTATATCCCAGTTATCGTCTATACAAGTGACTGACTGACTGACTGACTGATTGAGTGCCTGAGTGACTACCCACCTAAATCTTTATTCATTTGCGCCTCACTTTAAAAACTTCACTCAATTTGATTCACACATTCGTCTCAATTCTATATTATTTATGCAATAAATGCAACTTCCAATAAATTGGCTTGTTATGCTGCAGAAATATCTTTTGAAATCCATTTCTTGAGATATATAAGCTGCTGTATGAACCAATCACATCTGTGTTTGAGTGCTGTAGTAACAAGTATATCAAGTCTATTAAATAGTTGGAGCAGTGGAAAGCAAATATGTCAAGTACCTCCAATTCAATTTTATTTAAGTGAGTTAACTCTACCGATTGACCTATATTGATGTAGCCCTGAAGTACAAATTTTAATTAGTTCAAAATATATGAGTAATTATTTATAAAAATCAAATAAAAAAATAATAAAATATTTATTACTGCAAAGACCTTAACACTTCCCGTAGCTACAATAGATATAGCACAATAGAATTGATGTATATACCCTCTGCTCATTTTGTTGTTTGTTAACTACTTTTTAAGTAATAGACCTATTTCAAAAATATTTTTTTTTGTTATATTGGCACACTCTTTCCTGACATATGGTACACGGCACGTCTGTCGTCGCTCAGGCACCATATACGCCAGATCTGGCGCCGTGAGACTTTTTCCTGTTCCCGAACCTGAAATTGTCCCTTCGTGGTAAGCGTTTTGAGTCGATTGAATCGGTAAAAGAGAATTCGCCTAAGGAACTAAAAGCCATACCTGCACGGGCCTACGAAAAGTGTATGGAAGATTGGGTTAAGCGTTGGCATATGTGTAGCGCTTCAGAAGGAGCACATTTTTAAGGCGATAAAATAAATTTGGAATAAAATTTAAATTTGTGTATTTTATTTACAAAATCCGGGTACTTTTTGAGCTGGAGGTATATATTAATTTAGAAAATATATATAATTTCACGCCTTACCATGGAACAAATCGTACATTTTTTGTAACTACTATTCTACTTCTAACATTTTTTCTTGTATTAGTATCTTTCTTCTTGTTTTGAATGATTCGAACATTTGATTATAAAATTATTATTTTTGATCTGTGCAAAGCTTCTCCAAAAATCAAAGATAGATTCTTAAGCAACATTTAGCTTCCTTAACTTCCTGAGCCCAAGTGAGGAGACGAAAAAGACACCTCACATTGCATGAATTACTGTTAGACTTTAGTAATTAATTCGTCCGAAATAGTTTGTGGATGGTGGGAGTGCATTTAAGTTACTTACTGTGTACTATCTCTTTCGAATGGACTAGCTTGAGATTAATAGAAATCCATCCAGAGCGATCCAATTAATATACTCTAAGAATATGCATATGATAAATGAAATACATTTATATATAACGTATTTATGCACAGACCACCGACTGATCAAAGATTATTTTAAGATGGTTTGGCTTCTTAAAAGATCCGTTTACATCTCTATTTCTGTTTCACTCACTTTCAACATCGTTATTTATTTTCTCTTTCTATAACGATATAAGCCTTTTTCGGTTTTCTTACGGATTAGTTGTAGAAAGAAACGATTAATAATTTCTAAAATTATCTAAAGAATCCTTATTCAAGTGACAGTCATTAGAAATACTTAATACTTGATACTAAAAAATTTAAATTTTCAATCAAGCTTTCAATCTAATATTTTTGAATATTTTAATATTTTGAGCTTTATTACTTGACTTGACCTACGAGGTTCAAAATTCGGTCGTCTTCAATTTTATTGACCTTTCCAATAAAGATTTTTGTTGCTTTAATTCAATTTTTTCGAAAATTTGTTTTAATTAGTATTATGATTATATTATTGTGATAAATATATAAAACTCTAATATATCTTTTGAATTCAAAATTAATAAAAACAGAATTCCTTCCACTCGCAATCACAGAACAAAAATAAAACCATCTTGTATCTTTTTATTGACATTGGCTTTTCGTTTGTGTTCGCGCACTTTGCAACTATCTTTTTCTGTATTTTTACTTAAAACTTTTTACTTTTTTTGCTCCCAATGATTGTCAATTCGTAAACTTATTCGAAATGAAATACGTACATACATACAATATTATCTATTATATATTTATACATCGATCCATCCATCTTAACTTCTGTGTATTGTGCGTTAGTCTCAGTTTCGGTGTGCAATCATTTGATTTGACTTGACTCGCTCGTTGCAATCCAGGAAATCTCATTGAATTTGATGGACTGTGCAAAATGACAGACGGTTTATTTTTATTCGAAAAGGACTGCTGTATCAGCTCATCGATTGCTGTCCAAATAGTAATAGTAAACGAAATAAAAATAAATAAATATCTAATACAATGTATATGAAATTTTTTTATTGATTTAGTAATTGATAAATTATTTTAAATTAAATTATGTAAATGAGATGTTGTTTGGACAAAGATATAAGGAAATTGCAAAAAAAATATTATAGGAATATATATTTACAATTCATTATTAAAGATTTTTTTAAGATTATATTTTTCTGAATAATTGATAAGTATTGTTATAGTATATGCGAGTATAGCAGAGATGAATGATTACGAAATAATGTATCGAAAAATTAATAATAAACATAAAGATTAAATTTACGAGTAAGTGAAAATATTTATTGTGTGTTAAAATGTACATAATATATAAATAAAATATATATATAATAAAGTATATAAAATGCAATCGCCCATCTTTTTGTATGATCATAGTATTGAAGACGCAGGAATTCGAGTATCTGAGAATTTTAGTTAACAGCGATGTTGGCACGTCAAAGGATATCGACAACAGAGTGAAAAATGTATTTGGCTCTTTCGCATCGATTAACAAAGTCTGGAATGCCAACAATGTAAGAATCAAAACTAAGATCAAAATATTTAACGCCTGCGTATAATAGACATTATTATAATGGTGCGAAATATGATCACTAACGAGGGCGTTGATTAAGAAGTTACAAACCTTTGTCAATAGAAGCCTGCAGCGTATTCTGAACACATGGTAGCCTGCAAGAGTCTCCAACGAAGAGCTATGGCAGCGCACCAAACAAAAGCCAATATGGTCATGGAATGGAGCCCGCAAGATTTTGGAGGACGATGTCATCTCAAAACCTCTTGGCGAAGTTCTAAATAATAATAATCATAATAATAATAAAAATATAAAATATATGTATTATAAAGTACATAAATGTATATATTATAAAGTATATAGAATTTATATATTACAAAGTATATAAAATTTATCTATTATAAAGTTTAATATATATATATTTATATACCTATAATATATACCAAAATGTGTATTCTCTTAATATAATAAAAACTTTTTAATTTTCCTCTGAGTAGATATGATAAAATGATAAAAAATTATATTAAATACCCAATTCCATGAATTCATTATTTTGTTCCAAAAAAAAAACAAGAAATCCTTATCTAAATATTTTTCAAAAAAAAAGTACACTTAATTATATTTTTAATTATTAT